GTATGTGCAGAGGACAGGTGTGTCATGTGACCATATCCGGTATTGTATGTAAAGGAAAGGGGACAGGTGTGTCATGTTATCATAGCCGGTGTTGTATGTACAGGGGACAGGTGTGTCATGTGACCATAGCCAGTGTTGTATGTACAGCGGACAGGTGTGTCATGTGACCACAGTGACCATAGGCGGTATTGTATGTACAGGGGACAGGTGTGTCATGTGACCATATCAGGACTACCCCCCGCTGGCAGGATGTCGGGATTCAGCAGACTTCCTCCACCCACCCTCAGCTGTTTCCCAAGTATATATGAAGAAGAAGATGTAGAATTGTATAACCATGTGCTCAAATGTATCCACATACAATCATTTCCCATCATCAGTGACATGCAATGTGTATAGACCCAATCATGTCTTTCTTCAATACTTCCTGTTATAGGGTGACAATGCTCTGTCCTTGTTCAGGCACATCCTTTTATAAGGTGACAACGCTTTGTCCCTGTCTCTCTATTCTCCTTCTGTGCTGACACCCTGTCATCCAGGCTTCTGATAGAGACTACAAGTGGCCATTTCAGCACACATTACACAGACATGGTCTACTGTTGTCACCATCAGGAAACCCGCCCTGAGAAATGCCATGCAGCCATCACTGGAGTGCATGTAGACAGGAAGTGGCTGCAAAGAGGCTGCAGGAGATCAGCATCATTGCGATATAACAAAGGAGGAAACAAGGATTTGATTACAATGACAATAGTTTATCACGCACACAACACGTGTCACCTGTTCATAGTTTCCATAACTTTATTCAGACGGTAATAACAGACTGCCGATCACCGAACATTCATTTCTCATAAAGTAATTCTGTATATGTGACCTGAGCACAGGACGTCATCCATCCCCCCGCTCGCTGGCTCCTCCCCCTGCTGCAAAACCTGATTTGGGAGTTTATTAGGAGGATACAATGTTTCTGAATGCTGTAGATTTAGGAATAGGGGATACAATGTTTCTGAAGGCTGGAGATTTAGGAATAGGGGGATGCAATGTTTCTGAAGACTGTAGATTTAGGAATAGGGGATACAATGTTTCTGAAGGCTGGAGATTTAGGAATAGGGGGATGCAATGTTTCTGAAGACTGTAGATTTAGGAATAGGGGATACAATGTTTCTGAAGGCTGGAGATTTAGGAATAGGGGGATGCAATGTTTCTGAAGACTGTAGATTTAGGAATAGGGGATACAATGTTTCTGAAGGCTGGAGATTTAGGAATAGGGGGATGCAATGTTTCTGAAGACTGTAGATTTAGGAATAGGGGATACAATGTTTCTGAAGGCTGGAGATTTAGGAATAGGGGGATGCAATGTTTCTGAAGACTGTAGATTTAGGAATAGGGGATACAATGTTTCTGAAGGCTGGAGATTTAGGAATAGGGGGATGCAATGTTTCTGAAGACTGTAGATTTAGGAATAGGGGATACAATGTTTCTGAAGGCTGGAGATTTAGGAATAGGGGGATGCAATGTTTCTGAAGACTGTAGATTTAGGAATAGGGGATACAATGTTTCTGAAGGCTGGAGATTTAGGAATAGGGGGATGCAATGTTTCTGAAGACTGTAGATTTAGGAATAGGGGATACAATGTTTCTGAAGGCTGGAGATTTAGGAATAGGGGGATGCAATGTTTCTGAAGACTGTAGATTTAGGAATAGGGGATACAATGTTTCTGAAGGCTGGAGATTTAGGAATAGGGGGATGCAATGTTTCTGAAGACTGTAGATTTAGGAATAGGGGATACAATGTTTCTGAAGGCTGGAGATTTAGGAATAGGGGGATGCAATGTTTCTGAAGACTGTAGATTTAGGAATAGGGGATACAATGTTTCTGAAGGCTGGAGATTTAGGAATAGGGGGATGCAATGTTTCTGAAGACTGTAGATTTAGGAATAGGGGATACAATGTTTCTGAAGGCTGGAGATTTAGGAATAGGGGGATGCAATGTTTCTGAAGACTGTAGATTTAGGAATAGGGGATACAATGTTTCTGAAGGCTGGAGATTTAGGAATAGGGGGATGCAATGTTTCTGAAGACTGTAGATTTAGGAATAGGGGATACAATGTTTCTGAAGGCTGGAGATTTAGGAATAGGGGGATGCAATGTTTCTGAAGACTGTAGATTTAGGAATAGGGGATACAATGTTTCTGAAGGCTGGAGATTTAGGAATAGGGGGATGCAATGTTTCTGAAGACTGTAGATTTAGGAATAGGGGATACAATGTTTCTGAAGGCTGGAGATTTAGGAATAGGGGGATGCAATGTTTCTGAAGACTGTAGATTTAGGAATAGGGGATACAATGTTTCTGAAGGCTGGAGATTTAGGAATAGGGGGATGCAATGTTTCTGAAGACTGTAGATTTAGGAATAGGGGATACAATGTTTCTGAAGGCTGGAGATTTAGGAATAGGGGGATGCAATGTTTCTGAAGACTGTAGATTTAGGAATAGGGGATACAATGTTTCTGAAGGCTGGAGATTTAGGAATAGGGGGATGCAATGTTTCTGAAGACTGTAGATTTAGGAATAGGGGATACAATGTTTCTGAAGGCTGGAGATTTAGGAATAGGGGGATGCAATGTTTCTGAAGACTGTAGATTTAGGAATAGGGGATACAATGTTTCTGAAGGCTGGAGATTTAGGAATAGGGGGATGCAATGTTTCTGAAGACTGTAGATTTAGGAATAGGGGATACAATGTTTCTGAAGGCTGGAGATTTAGGAATAGGGGGATGCAATGTTTCTGAAGACTGTAGATTTAGGAATAGGGGGATACAATGTTTCTGAAGGCTGTAGATTTAGGAATAGGGGGAGACAATGTTTCTGAAGGCTGTAGATTTAGGAATAGGGGGATACAATGTTTCTGAAGGCTGTAGATTTAGGAATAGGGGGACACAATGTTTCTGAAGGCTGTAGATTTAGGAATAGGGGGATACAATGTTTCTGAATGCTGTAGATTTAGGAATAGGGGGATACAATGTTTCTTAAGACTGTAGATTTAAGAATTGGGGGATACAATGTTTCTGAATGCTGTAGATTTAGGAATAGGGGGAGACAATGTTTCTGAAGACTGTAGATTTAGGAATAGGGGGATACAATGTTTCTTAAGACTGTAGATTTAAGAATTGGGGATACAATGTTTCTGAAGACAGTGGATTTAGAAATAGGGGGATGTAATGTTTCTGAATGCTGTAGATTTAGGAATAGGGGGATACAATGTTTCTTAAGACTGTAGATTTAGGAATAGGGGGATACAATGTTTCTGAATGCTGTAGATTTAGGAATTAGGGGATACAATGTTTCTTAAGACTGTAGATGTAGGTATAGGGGGAGACAATGTTTCTGAAGACTGTAGATTTAGGAATAGGGGGATACGATGTTTCTGAATGCTGTAGATTTAGGAATAGGGGGATACAATGTTTCTTAAGACTGTAGATGTAGGTATAGGGGGAGACAATGTTTCTGAAGACTGTAGATTTAGGAATAGGGGGATACAATGTTTCTGAATGCTGTAGATTTAGGAATAGGGGATACAATGTTTCTGAATGCTGTAGATTTAGGAATAGGGGGATACAATGTTTCTTAAGACTGTAGATTTAGGAATAGGGGGATACAATGTTTCTGAATGCTGTAGATTTAGGAATAGGGGGATACAATGTTTCTTAAGACTGTAGATGTAGGTATAGGGGGAGACAATGTTTCTGAAGACTGTAGATTTAGGAATAGGGGGATACATTGATGTTGCTTTTCATTAACATGCTGGAAAAGAGAACCAGGAATAGAGGTGACGGCAGCAGCTATTGGAATACGCGGCAGTTTTGTGTAATTGCTTTTGGGATTTTGTTCGGCAGATATGATGCATATAACAGAACATTTATCCCAATGGAGCTTTCAGCACATTGCTCAGGTTCTTCTACTGATTTAAGACCTTATCTCCTCCACTCTCCCCTCCCCCCCTTCCCCTGAAGGAAAGGACAGAGGTCAGACAGAAGACTGAAGGGAAGGACGGAGGTCAGATAGAAGACTGAAGGGAAGGACGGAGGTCAGATAGAAGACTGAAGGGAAGGACGGAGGTCAGATAGAAGACTGAAGGGAAGGACGGAGGTCACATTTAAACATTCTTTAGGATAGGAAGGCACCACTATACTCGGGCTTGTGAGATCCAGTCTATTAGACAACCCCAATGTATGCTCATGGTCAAATCAATGAGATCCGGCCATCCAGATCATGGGATGGGGGGACGGGGGGGACGCGGGGGTTAATTGACAATAAATACACACATTCTGCTGTGCTCGTTGTATAATTTGATGCTCTCTCAAACCCAATGTATATTTCTGTATATGTGTAGGCAGATATATCATTATTTATGTAAACGTACCTAGTACTGGTAAAGTGTAGCTAGATCTAAAATCAGAATGTCATATATTAATGCACCCCACCCCCACCCCCCATACAATTCAGGCCATAGATGTGGCGGCTGCATTAATATTCAGGCTTTATTCTTTTCTTTTCAGGTGATCCTGCCAGTGACAGAGGGTGACAACGCTCACCCTTCCACTGTATCTATGGAAGGAGCCAGGGTTGTCATCCAGGCTGGACTTTGTTCACCTCTATGACATGGTGGATGGAGAGATTAGTAGTGTTTCAGAAGGAAGACAAAACTTCTGCTCACAGGAAATGACAAGGACATGGCATTTCTGGCAGGATCAACAGGTATTTTTCTGTATTTGCTAAAACATTAAAGCTAATGCGGCCACCACATGTCAGGACTAGGAGGTATTGGGGGGAGGAGGGGTGCAGACACATCTAAGGACTGGAAGGTATTGGGATTGTGGGAGTGGGTAGGCATTGGCATAGATACATCATAGGACTGG